AAAAAGAGCACTAGTCCCAGCTCTGTCCCCCACTAGCTGTGACATTGTATAATTGATTTTCTCTCTTTATGCCTCGGTCTTCCCATCTGTAAAATGGAAATATTGAATTAAGATTGTTTCAATTCAGCTCAAACTGAAAAATTGAAAGAAATGAGGCTATGACCCAGGCATTAAGAGTTGGGGGGGAGGGTGCTTCCTTCACCTGTGACCCTCCTGGTTCTCCTATCTCTGAGCCCCACTTCTTATCTAGGTTCCACATGAAAGTCCTGCTCAAAATACTAGCCTGGCTTTGAAGTCATCGGCAGCCCCCTGCTTCCTCCTTGGAGTGTAGATTCAAGAGGCTGTCTGACCCACTGTGTCTGCTCCTGGAACTGGAGAGGACAACATTTTAGCCTTTCTAGCGCCTAATCTTCCAGTGCATCTAGAGACAAACTGTGCAAAAAGCAACCTTTAAAAGCTGCACTGTATCTTTAGAATTTTGTGTTTTTCTTTGACTCATAATCCTATGAGTGATTTAGCAGCTTGTCTCCTTGACAGGGGACAATGCATATAAAAAACATAAAATATGTACTGCCACCAAACCCAGTGAAAAAGTGCCCTTTCTTCCCTGAGGCCTTCTCACTAGAGATTCTTAAGATTGTCACCACAACAGACTCTTGTATTATTCTTGTCCCATTCGATCTGCTGAGTTTTCAAAGCCAAGGGTCAACTTAGTATTTGTAAATTGTAGATATTCTCTTTAGTTCATTGACCATGTTATATATCATTTAAAAAAGACTTTCTACAAGACACTTGTGACTCAAACTCCATTTGAAGCTTGAGAAGGTTTTTTGAGTTGGTTTGCTAATTATATCACAAATTCACTTCAATCGTGAATATTCCATTTAAAAGTTAACCAGCTTCCCAAAGTATCCAAATGTCCCCTCCTAGGGTAGTGATTAGACAGCCAGATCAGCCACTGAGGGGAACAAGGCTGATCCTAGGTTACGAAAATGTATTTGAGGAGAACCAAAGACAGTGTTTGTGGTCAAAAGTAGTTTCAGAAAACACAGGGACTAGCTATAGGAAGATGCCAGTCCAAGGAGCCAAGCTTCTTGCAGAAAAGGGGTCTGAGGTAAAGGGACATCCCAGTCAGGAGAGGCTGCTGGGTTACGAAAATGTATTTGAGGAGAACCAAAGTCAGTGTTTGTGGTCAAAAGTAGTTTCAGAAAACACAGGGACTAGCTATAGGAAGATGCCAGTCCAAGGGGCCAAGCTTCTTGCAGAAAAGGGGTCTGAGGTAAAGGGACATCCCAGTCAGGAGAGGCTGCTTTGCTACGTTGTGCTGCAGGAACAAACGATCTCAAAATCTCAGTGGCTTTGGACAGTAAAAATTTATGTCTCATTCACATTAGGGAACTTGACATGGGTTGGCAAAGGACTGCTCCATACAGTAACTCAGGAACACAGGCCAGCAGCAGGGGGAAGAGAGAACAGAGAACAAGGTCTTTTCACTGCCTCAGCCCAGAAAGGAAGCACTTCCTCTAAAATTTCACTGGTCAGAACTAATCACGTGACACCACCTAGCTGCAAAGATTGCTGGGAAGTGTAGTTTTTCATACGGCCAGAAGGTGAGCGATGCACCATTAATGTCCATCCACCCAAAGGGTCAGGAATCAGGGCTGCAAGATGAGAGCAGATGTGGTGGGACAGATGGCAGGGGAGCCTGTGGAGATTCCTGGAAGGCTCATCACAAACCCACTCTTATTAGGGGTCGAGAGAGTGCTAGGTGTGTTGACAGATTTGGACAAAGTTCTTAGTGATTTCACAGTACCTAGAAAATGTTAGCTGTTAAGGAGGCTTCTTGTTCTATTGTTTTAATATTCTATGTATTATATAATTTTACCTTTATCTGACTGTCACCCCCACAAGTCTATTTCCCAATAAAGGTACATAAGCTTTAATTCATAGTTGACCCATTTCATAGATGTGTCATTATCTTCCTCATTAAGGGAGTCTAAGAATTGGTTACTCAAAGATCCCAGAGATTCAGATTCCCCCCTTTGGTAAAGCCAAGCCAATCAGCATGTGCTCCTAGATTCACAGCCCCTTGTGAGACTGAAGGACGAGGGGCTGGAGAGGGACAGATGACTCTGTGTTTCTTTAAATTAAGGTTCCAAGCCATCTACTGCCTCCTCTCTCTCCGTTGATCTTAACAAAAGTTTTAAATGCACAAACATTTTCATATCTTTTCTTATCTTCCTCCAACACCTGAGCAAGACATGAGATAACATCATTTTATCTAACTGCATTACTTTCAGAATCCCCTATCAGAAAGGAATGTTCCCTTGATTTAATTGAATTTAGTTTTGTTGTCTGTAAAATAGGGATAATAAAACCTGCCTCACAGAATTGTTGCGAGAATTAATAAGACTGTAGAGGAAGAGGGATTTTGGAGAGTGACAGTCGGATAAATTTTTTGAGGTAGGGCTGCTTTCCCTTATTATCCAAAACTCAGGAACTAAATAGATGCAGATGCTGTGCAAGACATACTGATAGATGGAAAGCCCTTGGCATTTCTCCTGGCACACAGAAGCTTTCTGTAATATCAGTATTAGTATCGCTGTTACTATGACAATCGCTTATTACTACTGCTGCTTCTAATGCCCTCAGTCTGAACACTACTATCATGGGTGTTTTTTCAGGTCTTTGTTTTAGTGAACCGAACTCTGCTCCTGGGCATAGCTCTTTCTATTCAGGGAGGCTTCTTACCGGAATATAAGAATATGCTTTAGTTTCTAGTCCCGGGATACTACCTGACTTCTCCTCTTTTCATCATTTTTCTTTTCTCTTGTTGCAGTAGTTTCTGGGATGGCAACCCTGGCAACAGGCTTGATGCTTAGTCCTGCTTCTTTATTGACATCGAAGCTTTCACATGGTGGAGTTACTTTCATTTTCTTTTGTGAATTACAGTGCCGGTTGCAGATATCAAAGCCGTGGTGACGGGAAAAGACTGCCCTCATATGAAAGAGAAAGGTGCCC